ATCTCCTTTGCTGACAACAAATCTCTCCTTATCAGCTACTATTTGCATGGAGAGAATTACACTCCCCCTACCTGCTCTAATGCCAAGAAGCATCAAATTTATGATCCACCCCACATGGTAATAGATGTCTGTTTAACTTTTTAAAAGTTGCATACACTCAGCATCCCTTCTGATTTGACTTGTTTGGGTTACGATGAAAAGGGATCTTGTACCACCTTTGAGGTTAACTGAAAAAAAGATGTTGGTAGTATTAGCTTTCATAGACTTGAATCTATTTCTTCAGATGCAACTTGTTTGGTCATGAACTAGAACAGGGGTAGGCAACCTTTCCCCTTTAAGGGCCGAGGGATTTCAGCTCCCAGAATCCCAGGAGCTATTGGCCAACATGGGACTATTGGCCAACATAGCTGAGGCTTTGGGGGGCTGAAGTCCCTCGGCCCTTAAAGGGGAAAGGTTGCCTACCCCTGAACTAGAGGATTTCAGCTGTGAAAAAGACAGTGCACTTGGGCTTCAGGTCTGGTCAGGAAATCATGGATAAGAGGGCAAGACTAGCTGTGTATCCACACTGCAGAATTAAAGCAGTTGACACCATTTCAAGAACCATGACTCTATTCTACAGAACCCTGGGATTTGTAGTCTGGTTAGGCACCAGAGCTCTCTGACAAACTAGGCTGAATAATTCATGAAGCTACAAATCCCAGGATTCTGCAGGCTAGAAGCATGGCAGTTAAAGTGGTCCCACTTTATACAGAGCACCTCTGACCACAAGGACTAAGTCCGATTAGTGATCCAGTCTGCCTAGAAATGCCATCCTCTTCATCTGACAGCCTTTTGTTCCTTCAGTATGAGAGACAGGAACACTAATTCATGGGGAGGGAGGGTGATTTGTTGGACTTATTATATCCCAGCACAGTTGTAAGCATAACCAATGGTGAAGAATACTGGGAGCATCAGTTCAACTGCCTCTGGTGGCCCAGACAATTCCCAATCCTCATATAGAGGGTATTTTGCATCTGCTCGAAGGGCATTGTGCTGCTTAATTCTAATCCAGCATCCTATGTCCAAAAGCAGCCTCTTGACATTGAGAAACCAACCATGAAGGTGATTGTACCAACTGTTAGCATTCCTTCCATCCCTCTAAAATAGAGCCCCAATATCACAAACACAAATCCCACCGTAATTCACAGGGGCTGGCAGACTCTAACCCAGGCGTAGACAACCTTTAAGGGCCGAGGGACTTCAGCTCCCAGAATCCCAGGAGCTATTGGCCAACATGGGACTATTGGCCAACATGGCTGAGGCTTCTGGGAGCTGAAGTCCCTCGGCCCTTAAAGGGGAAAGGCTGCCTACCCCTGCTCTAACCAAACCTTTTTCAAGAGTCACCTAAGCTAATAACCTTTCATATATCAGGAACTAGTGCTTGGTAAAGTCACCCTTTTGGACAATGGCTCCCAGAGTCCACCAGCCAGCATGGCTATGGAAATTGTTGCCCCAAAAATGTCCTCTTTTCCCAAGGAGCAGCTCCAGACTCAAACCCAGACCAGTATTGATTGCTCTGACTGGGAAAATTTTTCCAGGATCTCAGGCAGCTGCCATTTTCTTTCTTGCTAAATGTTATAAATATGGGCTCAGGCGTTGCAAAGAGGTGTCAAAGCTGATCCCACTAAGGCTCTCCTGGGGCCAACTTGGAGCTGGAGGAGGGTGATAAACATGACTAAGAATAACTTGCCTGTTAACACCTTTTTTGCTGCTATATACCTTCTACATGGGATCCATCAGTTGCATAACCTGAGAGGTGTGAATGAACAGTCTTGAGACTGTTTAAAATAACATGTATAAGCTGAGAACGCCTTATCCAAAATGTATGGGACCAGAAGTATTTGGGATTTGGGACTCTGGGGGATTTTGAAATACCTATGTATTCATATATGTCCATGATGAGATATCTTGGAGATGGGACCAAGTCTAAACCCATAGTCATATGGATCTTATACACATAGCCTGAAGGTAATGTTACAGAATATTTTAAATAATTTTGTGCATAAAAAAATGTTTGTGTACATTGAAAGCAAAGATGTGAGTATCTCAGCCACCCATGAAAAATGTTTAGGGTTTTGGGGTATTTTGGAATTCCAGATAAGGAGGACTCAACTTGTACATCAGTTGCACTCAGGATCTGAACAGGAAAAGAAAAGGTATGACTCAATCAGAGAAGAGAAGAAACAGAAACCAATGGAGAAAGGTGGAGCAAAGCCAACTGAGAAAGGAAGCTGGGGGTTCCACTCATAAATCTGGGCCATGCCAAAGACATTGTGTTGCCTGAAGATCAAGATGGCTGTTCTCTGCATCTCACTTCTTGTTCCGCTTACAGATTCTGGAATGACAATTGACTCTTACTACAAATCTCCACCTCATCTCACCTCTGCTACATGCAGCAATGCAATCAAATTAAGGGGATAACCAGAGATTTTGCACTGCTGTCCCTTACATATTCTCTAGTGCAGGGGTAGGCAACCTTTCCCCTTTAAGGGCTGAGGTACTTCAGCTCCCAGAATCCCAGGAGCTATTGGCCAACATGGGACTATTGGCCAACATGGCTGAGGCTTATGGGAGCTGAAGTCCCTCGGCCCTTAAAGGGGAAAGGTTGCCTACTCATGCTCTAGTGTATGCTTCCTGAGACAACTACTTCACACTGCCAAACAGTGGGGGCAGCCTTATAATAAACAAAAGGGAAATGGACTCAACTGCATTTTGAGGTGAAAGAAAAACTTTATCCCCTCCCCCCAAAAAAGGGGTGCGGGAAGTAGGAAAAGGAAGCTAGTTAGACTGCCTGGTTTCTATTTTATATTTAAGACTGGTTTATATTTTAGCATGAGCTTTCATGGATATATGTACTTCTTCAGATGTGTTGAGGAAAGTTCAACACATCTGAGGAAGTGGATTGATATCCATGAAAGATCATGTTAAAATATAAATAATTTGCTCTTAAAGATGCCACTGGATTCCTCCTCCCCCTCCCTTTTTCCTTTTTATGCTACAACAGACTATCTTGGTTATTTCTTTAGGCTTCAAATCAACTGGTATCTAACACCCAGGCTCCTGTCACTAGTCCCTGCTTCTGCCAACCTAGCAGTTTGAAAGCATGCAAATGCAAGTAGATAAATAGGTACCACTTTGGTGGGAAGGTAAACAGCATTCTGTGCAGTCATTCTGGCCAAAGGATCACAGAGTAGTCTCTGACAACGCTGGCTCTTTGGCTTAGTAACAGAGATGAGCACCACCGCCTATGGTTGGACACGACTTGACAATCTTGTCAACGGGGAATACCTTTACCTTTAACACCCAGACTGCTGTCACACTGCCAAAATAAAGTAGCTTGCTTCACAATTTAACTTCCATAGCTCAATGCTATGGAATTCTAGGATTTGGAGTTCTAGGCCCCAGAGTGCTCTGACAAAAAAGGCTAAATATCTCACAAAACTACAAATCCCAGAATTCTATAGCATTTAGTCATGCAAGTTTATCACACAGCATTTGCAGGAACAGGAATGGAACAGGGTGAGAATGCATGTTACTGCACAGGAGAATGCCACCGATGCTGCCAGGAGTCCCCAAGCCATTCCCCAGCCATTCCTGGCAGCCAATTTTGAAGAACGGTTCAAAATCATTTTTCAAAATCGGCTGCCATAGCACAGATGGGGAATGGCTTGGGGACTTTCGGCAGCATCGGCGGCGTTCTCCTGTGTGGTCTCCTCCGAGTACATTGCTCCTAGAAGCATTGAAGAGAATGAGGTTAAGGTGAAGTTATACAAAAACCTTAAGTGAGCATTAAAGCAGGACATGCTTTTCAGGAAAAGGTACCCATGGAAAAGAAAAAGAAAACTCTTTTTGAACTGAATAGGTTAAGTACTATAAAAAAAATTCCATCACCAAAATACTCACCACCAAATAATTCAACACAGGGACCAGCCCAGTGGCTAAGTAGTCACTCTCTTTTAGGGGGGGGGGGAAGAGAGGAATGGCCAGACTTGCGTCTCAAAGACCTTTTATGCTTCCCATATGGAGCTCTTCTTGGGTCAGGAAGAGCTAAAGGGGACACAGCTGATTGTAAATGAAAGCAGCTGAATGTTCCTGTAATGGGGTGGCAGCAAGAGGAAGATCTTCAAATGTTTGGGTTTGTTTTTGAACTGACAGTCTCAGAAGTACCACTGTATCTGCTCCATGATCAAGCAAAGCTTATTTTTATTTTCATATAATTATTATCGTTATCATTAAGCTTTCCATTAACAACATCCCTTACCTACTAGAAGTATTTAGCAGGCAGTCCCGGAAATCTTTCCCCAACCCTTTCCCACTGGCATCTGTTCAGTTCTTCCTTTGCAGCACACATCTGGCAGTGAGTTATTCCATATTTGGTGTGCATTTCCATTACATTACATTAGCTTGTATCACGGTGATGTGGTTGCGATGACATTGTGATCATCAAGAGCAGGGGTCTTTCCTTTTTCTGTGCCATTGACCATTTCTCCTCCTTTACCTGGAGATTTGGTGTCCTTCCTGGAGCACCTACAGCTGAAGACCTAAGACCTGTAACCCTATTCTGATATACTGGGGAAGGGGCTAAAGTGATGGGTTGCCTCAAAATGGCAGGGCATAGTGTGCGATCAGAACAAGCAGCAAGAAGCCTAGTAGAATGACACCGTGTGTGTGTGTGTGTGTGTGTTCCCAGCTGCAGCAACACTCCCAGGGGCCCACCTGACCTCCCACTAAATGGCCTTCAGGGTATACCCCATTGCATAAGGAGGTACCAGCTACCTCTTTCTGATACAACCTTAAAATGTCTTTATTGTTGTCGTGTGCTTTCAAGTTGTTTCTGACTTATGACGACCCTAAGACATACCTATCATGGGGTTTTCTTGGCAAGATTTGCTCAGAGAATGTTTCCCTTCCCCTGAGGCTGAGAGAGTGTGACTTACCCAAGGTCACCCTGTGGGTTTCCATGGCTGAGCAGGGATTTGAATCCTGGCCTTCAGAGTCACAGTGCAATGCTCAAACCATTACGCCACAGACCTAAGAGGAGTTTACATCTATGCTGTGTATGTTACCATCAGGACTCCATCCATGGAGTAGATTCAGGATTCAGGCCTGGCAGTCTTATTATTAGAGTGCTGCTGTCTCACTGAGGAGACTATCGCTTGGCTTTTTAACTGGCTTACCTCTATCTGGTTTAATCTTAATTCAGGTGGCATCCTGATTTTATCAGACTTTTTTGCCATCAAATTTGCCACCCAAATAGAGCCTGGGTCCATCCCTGCTTCCAGAGCAGCTCCTCACGGCAATTTTCTTAAACTGGAAAACTCCTGGATCTGAAAAGAGCCGCGAAGATGCACCCCGGCTGTATTGGAGCAGCAAAAAAGTCTGATAAAATCAGGATGCTGCCCGAATTAAGATTAAAATGGACAGAGATAAACCAGTTTAAAAAGCCAAGCAATAATTTCCTCTGTCTCCTATCAACTACATTGGCTAACCTTGTCTACCCACCTTGCTGTGCTTTCAGCATAGTAGCTGAACTCTGGATCCTGTGCAAACCTTTTGTTGCTCAAGGACCACATTGTATGACAATTATACCCATCTGGCAAGGCTGTTTCTTTCTTTACTACCTGCCTCATACCAGGATGAGGCAGCAGGGCTCAATCATCAATTCTTATTGCCGTCATTGTCGCTGCATGCCTTCAATTCATTTCTGACTTCTGGTGACTTTCTTGGCAAGATTTGTTCAGAGGAGGTTTGCCATTGCCTTCCCCTTAGACTGAGAGAGTATGACTTAACCAAAGTCACCAAGTGGGTTTTCATAGCTGAGCTGGGAAACCAACCCTGGTCTCCAGAGTTATAGTCCAATGCTCAAACCATGCTGGCTCTCATATAATGCAATAATATTGTGGCAGTGTCCAAGGGCTTTGCTACTTCTCTCTTCCCCTTGCTAGAATGCTGCAATGGGGCATTTTGGTTCTAAAGTGGAACAGCAAAGCACTTCAGACCATCCAATATTAAAAAGAAGCAGGGAAAAGTCAGAGTACATCTCCAATGTGACCATTCAGGGAAAATGCAAAGATGGCATAGTGAGGAAGGGTGGGAGAACTGTATTGTGCTTATTGTCAGCTCTGTTGTGCAGTTTAAGGGAAGAATCTCAGCAATACTCTCCAACCGCAATGCTTATGTGGTGGGATTATGTGAGATCATTGAAATGATACAATCTGTTGCCAATTATGTGTTTCTTGCATCTCTTTTTTCTGTATTATTAACCAACTGTGAAAAACAGGTCATATGTGTCCAAATGATATCAGAGTGTGGCTAAGATGAGAAAAGTATTGATAAGGAAGGGCGGACAACATAGGAGAGGCTGCGGCGATTTGCTTTTGCCTGCCTCCTGAGAAGTTTAAGACGGGGGAAAATCATTATGGTTACAGTGGCGAGAATGGTAATAGCTCAAAAGTGGAAACAACAGAATATGCCAACAGAAGAGGAATGGTTGTTAAAAGCAGGGGTAGGCAACCTGCGGCCCGGGGGCCGGATGCGGCCCCATGAGGCCTTTGAACCGGCCCCAAGCCAGTCCTGCCCCCCCGCCATGATGATATTGATTATTGTTGTTATTACTTGTTCTTGGGGTTTTCTTGGCAAAATCTCCACAGGAGTTTTGCCATCATGGCTTTTCTGGGGTTGAGAGAGTGTGCATGCATATTTTTAAATTTTATTTTATTTTATTTTTATTATTTTTATTATTTTATTATTTTGCTTCGGCCCGCCAATCGTCTGAGGGACAGCAACCCGGCCCCAAGCTCAAAAAGGTTGCCTACCCCTGTTAAAAGTATTAGATATGAAAGAAATGGATGAATTAACTAAATTATTGAGAAATGGTGATAAAGACTTGATTAAGGAGCAATGGGCTCCAGTAGAGAAATATATTAAAGAAAGATGGAATACCGGTATATAAACCAAGATAAAGAAGAAATAAGGGTATTATATGGTTCCAGCAAGAGTGGTTTAAATATGAGAGTTAAGATGGAGAGAATACTATAGAAAAGTTTTTATAAAATGTACTCATCGTGTTCCGAACTAAGGGGAGTTATGTAAATATGTAGATAGAACAATGTGATAGAAATTATATTTTAATAGCGGTTTTTTTAATATAAATATTGTAAATACTATTTTGAATAAAAATAAAATGGAAAAAAAAAGAAGTTTAAGACTCCCTTTCTTCTCCTCTCCTCACTGCTGAAGGTGCATCTTTAACTTTAACTGCTATGGCTCCATCCTACAGAATCCTGGAAGTTGTATATAATAATAATAATAATAAATAATAAATTTTTATTTATATCCCGCCCCTCTGCTTAGTAATCGGGGCGGGTAACA